CCGATCAGTAACGTTGAACTAACATTTATCACATCTTGAAATTGTCTTTATTATTATTTAAACCTCTGTCATCTATGATCTGGTGTCACTTTGCTGTTGATGTGGGTGGCATCATAACGCCATTTCCCAGACTCAGACCTTCAGAAAAAAAGGTTGTGGATGCCTGTGAGTGTTGCAAGAAGGTTAAAAAGATCTCCAGACAATTTAAAGCACCCCACCAAAGACAACCATCTACAAGTGGTGCAGTTTGCTTTTAGAAATATGTCACACACACAAAAAAAGTCAACAATTTCCATGTGATATACTTACTATCTCCACATTGCTGCTCCTGTGTTTCCTTCCTTCCTTAGCATGCTTAAAACACAAGCCTGATCTTTTCCCTGCAGATGTCTTCAGACTACGAGACCATGATGCCCGGTGTGAGAGCAGAACCTGAGCTCCGCTGCAGCTGTTCGGCTCCAGACTGCCCTGATCTTTCAGCTTTACCTAGACCACCAAGTGACTTCTACCCTCACCTCACGTCAAAGCCCCGGGACTCCAGCAGCACTCTGGGCCTCGGCGACTATGTGGATGTGGATGTTCCAGGACACGTCTGCCAGTACCAGCATCTGGATCTCAGCCGGCTGGAGGAGCACGTCTATCATTGCCTTAATGGAAACAATGATCCTAAACATGGACCCATGATAGAGCAGATTCACATTTCTTCAAACTATTAAAGGATAATTTTAGGTTAATCGCAGCTTGATCTTATTTTGTAGTCACGGTTTTATTAACAGAAATAATGGCCAAATTTGCAACAATAGGATCTAAGTTTTAACAACCCAGGATTATCCTTTACTATGTGTGGATGAATGAAACCGTTCAGACATTGAAATGTTTGGAATCTTTAGCGAGTAAAGTGTACATTTTCTGCCGCGTTTTGTTATTTTTAAAGGAAAATATGTTTTAAATTGCACAAAGAGAGAAGCCTGAAAAGTGTTACCAGAGTCTCAAGGATTAATCTGGACTCAGGATGTGAGATTTTAACAAAATCCAGCAAGTTTTGGATGTTTTAACTAGTCTCAGTTTGCTTTGTAATATATTGCATCAAATAAAAAGAGAAATCAGAAGCGGTTCTTGTGTCTCTTGAACATTCACTGTGGGACAGATGGGACAGATGGGAAGGACGTTTTCTTGCTCATCACATGTTTGTGGTTTTTGAGGATAGATTTTGAGAGAAAAGGGGAACTGGTGACAGACAGGAAGCGCAACAACAAAGAGGAACCTGTGACACATGCAGGAGAGAGAACTGCACAAGAAATGAGAAAAAGAAAAAAAAAAGCTATTGGAAGCACGGAGATGACTCTGCTTATTGTTTTATTTCTTCTTGTGGGTAAGTTTACTGATATCAATTTATTCATATGTATATTTGTCTCTCTCTTTGCCAGTGTGTTTAGTGTACTTGTGGTTGTGGTTGTGAGTTTTCTCACTTTCCTCAGGTTCTCAGTTTTCTGGATTTCATTAGTGGGCCCAGCAGAGCCTTTGGACTTTCTTTCTTTCTGGGTTCTGGTTGTTTTTGTGACCTAACTGTAAACTTTGTTGAATTTTAAGACACCTTGAGTGATCTGAGAGGACATTTTAAGATCTTTAGATGCTAAAGAACACTTGTGCACCTTTAAAGCTGTGATTCCCAACGTCACTGAACTGAATTTACAATATTTGATAATGCAGTTTAAAACTCAGAGTATACAGATTATTTTTAACATATACAACTTCCATTCTCATAAAACCATAACACACTAGAGACATGGAGGTACAATAATATACTAAGAATCAAATACATTAATTCTGATGCATGGGAAAGACAGGAACGAAAAACAAGCGATTATAGTTCTGCTTTGCTTTCATGTTGCCTTTAACCTTTATTATGAAAGATTTTATACATGTAATTAATAAAAGCTCTGTTGATAAAAAGTTCCAGAGATGACAGCCCTTTATAGAGAAAACCAATTGTTCAAATTTAGATCTTCTCTGGCCTGCCTGAAAATTTTAAAATGTCTTAAGATTTCTGAGAAAATTTTAAATATGGAATACTTAGCACGAAAAAATGTCTTCAAAAAATTGTCTGTCGTGCGCGTTGAAATTCGAAGCTATGTTTGAATGACGATATCTCAGGAACTTTTAAAGATAAAAGCCTGACATTTTCACTGTTATTTCTCATCATGTCACTGATTCTGCAGTTTTGGACAAGTAGATTAAATAGTCTCTGATAATAGGGAAGTTGAAAAATGAAAAAAAAAAAAAAAAAGATTCCATGTTTGAGCACATGTTAAAATTAAAAAAACTAAACAAAACAAAAACCTGATAAAGCAGAAGTCAAGCATTGATATTATCTGAACCAAATGTAGTCTCATTTCACAATAATACAAAACATACAGAATACTTTGTATATGCAATACTTGGTTACAAAAATGCAACAACAAAAAAATATATATGTATTTTTTTTAGGTCATTTTTGCTCATCTTTCATAGCTGAGCAGATGTGACAAGAAAAAGGAAGTTATTTGGATTTTTTTTATTTTTATTTTTGAACTTCGATTTGTGGGCTGAAGAAAAAGAGTAAACCCATTATACTTATCGAATTCATAAACATTTGGAAGAGATACCTGAAGTTAAACTCTTGTCATACCTGCTCAGCCAGGGAATCATTGCTTTAAAGAACAGATTACCTTTATCAGGATGTTCTGAGAGTTTACAGAAAATACACTGTTGAACTAATATGATGTTACTGCTGTCTGTGTAGAATTATGGGAGACCGACGCCATTTCAGCAACAGGAGTGGTGGGAGACAAGACCACAATAAAATGCTCTCATTCCAACGCTTACAGCAACGTCAAATACTTCTGCAAGGCAACGTGTGACAATGAAGACATCCTGGTGACGAGCAGAGAGACGAACAAGGATTCAAATGGAAAATACAGTATTGAAAATAACGGGAACACGTTCACCGTGACCATCTCTGATCTGACAAAGGATGACTCTGGAACTTACTGGTGTGGAATCGAAAGGTTTGGTCTCGACACGTATAATGAAGTCGTCCTCACAGTCACAGAGGGTGAGTTGACTCAGCGCCGTCTCATATGAATAATGGTTATGACGCTAAGGTTCTTCCTCGCTGACGAGATCAAGACCTTTGTTCCATTTCCACTTCACTGAAGTCTGGTCAAAATTTCACAACAGTGTCTAAAAAAGGTTTGTTTTTTGTGACAGACATTTACTACAGGAAAGAAATGAGACACTAACACTGCAGATGACAGGACTGAGAGATGACAAAAAGGACATCATTAACATAGTTCTCTTTTTCCTTTCAGAAGATACTAAGGGTCATGACAGCATCCACCGAAAATCAGATTTAGATGAAACAATTAATACAAATTCTTTATCCTCTGGTAAGCTACTGTCCAGGTGTGAGCAGTCACATATATGTGTGCAAAGAGAAAGTCCTGAATGAAACATTGTCACTGATTGTCTTTTTCAGAGAAGCTGGTGTATATCGGAGCAGGTCTCGGTGTGGTTTTGTTGGTTCTGGCAATGGTCCTTCTAATATTCTTCAGACATCGAAAGAGACACATCAGTGCATCTTCTGGTATGTAGCTAGTCTGGTACTGAAGAATGGTTTGACTGCACCTCATTATCACAAGGGAAAGCAAACGCCCTGGCTTCTTTTATTTCTTTAACCCAATCACAGTGGTGCTGGAGCAACGGTGCCCCTACAGAATAGTTGGAGGGAAATGTTTAGGGCAAACATCTGTGCGCAAGGAGTCATTAAAATAGCAAATTCACCACAAGTAGACCTCATTTATTTTCAGAAAAACTTGCCATGCAGCTCAGAGGATGTTCTCGCAACAATGACCAAAAAAAAAAAGGTAACACTTAGACACAGCAGACTTACACCCGCAGTCAACATCCAGTCAATCAGACGAGTATGAAAACGGACACATGAGATTATCTGAAGAATATAAATGTAAATTCAAACACCCGCAGCAGAAAATACTGAGAATCAGTCTCACCAAACACCCTGGTCAAGGCCCAGCAATATCCAGACCAGAATAACAAGCTCCTACGAGCCGTCTCACGATGATCTAGCAACTGTCTAGAAGCTCTGCTACCACCACTAAAAACTGCCTAGTTTAGGCCACAAAAGAAACAGCCACTAAAAGAAACCATCTACTGATTTAATATAGGAGATGGATACAGGACTCAAAAGGCAGGACCCAACCACTGTCCACCGAGCACATGACCCGTTAAAGTTTTCTCGTTTGTCTGCTGGTCCAACATACTCCACATTATGTACATAAACATAACTTTCTGACGCAAAGCAAATTTTCCAAACCCTCAAATATCAAAACTACAAACAACTGACTATTTGTATGTAGTTCAAGGCGTCCTCTTTAGAGTTTTACAAAAGTAGTAGCATTTTTTTCATTGTAATACCCCAAAGCATTATAATACCACTTCTCTCTCACTACATCCATGCAGCCACCTTGCAACATTGTACCACAAACCTCACAACGAATCAGAGACTGACTGGCAACCACAGAATGCACTTTGAACATGATAGAAAACGACTTACCAACCACCTCAGCCACACAACAAATCGCAACCATTTCAAACAAGGCCACAGCAATGGGAACACATTAGCAGCTTCCTTGATGGGATGTGCTCTAAACAGCAAGGACACTTCCTCAGTATTTTCATTTGGATTCATTTATTAAAACTAAACATTGACGAGGGATCTGATGCAAATGCAGATCATGCAGTGGCATATAGGTAATGGAAAAATAGGCAGCGGTTTAATGAATTTGTAATGATTGGCTTCTCTTAATGCAGCAGTATGAGATTCGTCGTCATGAAGTCATAGTAAAAATGGGATTTAAAAATTTGGGTCTTCACTCTCCACACAGGAATGCACCCTGACAGAGTCAATGCAACGCCATGCTTTCAGAAACAGGATGCCCAACATGACACCACCAGTTACTCAGCCAATGAGGATCAGCAAACAGACGGCAGCATCGACAGCATCGTCTCTTCAGCTTCCAACCAGCACCGAAATACCAGCAGAGACAATATTTACTCCAACATCACAGTCTCATCGGAGCCTCAGATCCAACCAGAAGACCTTTTTTACTCCACTATCAGCTTTAATGGACACACAGACATCAGCACCGTCACTCCTCGCACTGCAACGGCCACATATTCGACCCTTAAGCACACATGGACAGATGAATCTACAGATGACTGCAGCATGTGATCTCTGAGATGACCGTCCTGGTCTGTTAGTTGCAATGTTTTGCAAAATATTGACGTGTTGTTGTGAATTAATAATTGTACAACTCTGATTTAATTTATTGAATAACTTAATGTAGCACAGATGATGCAGTAGATAACAAATTTAACAAAAAAGGATATATCACATCCAGCAGATTTGTATTTAAAAATGACGTTGTACAATCAATATGTTGAGAGGTTTTTTTGTGTCTGTGTGTGTCTGTATGACACATGCATGGACAACTTGTGTCAAACAGAAACTGAGACAGTGATATGAGCAAAGGAAGAGGTTAGTGGACAAGCTTTGCATGTTTGAATTGTGGACAAACTAAAGTAAAACAAGTGCTAGAGACTGTAAATGAAGAAAATGATTCTTCCCAGTATATGGCTGTTTCCCGATGAGCACAGAGCACAATACATCGCTTTTTAAAGACAACAATGCCTGTTATTTTACACTGCTGACAATAAAGATGTGTTTTTTTTTTCTCCCAGACAATAGTGTATGTATGCTGTTAATGTAAACATACATGTATTGTAATTGTTCTTTCTTGTGTGGAGAGTGAAAACAAAAAGTATTAAAACCTCTTTTTATATGCATGTTTGCATAAATGCATTGACTAGCAGTAAGTGGTTTCATACGACCTGAGGATGTGCATACAGAAAAGACATCGCACAACAATTTACTCAGGACATGTCTAAAAAAAAATTAAAAATCTGGGGGGCATGGTTTAACCCCTTGGGGGCCTCCCGGGTTTTACAGAAAGAAATAGTGTGAAACAATGCACTCATCATGAAAGAATATAGTGATGTTATACATCAAATTAAACAGCAGAAACTGGGCTACAAGCACATATCAGCCATTTCTACATCCCTCAAACACAACTCAAACACCAACTAAATGAATTATCAAATATGCAAATCGATATAGCGCCACCACGTCAACCCACTCGTCACATTTCTGGCTCTGTCGCTACTGTACGTTATGAAAGACGCACAACCTACCTCTCAAAATGAAGCAGAGAGTCCCCAGATTCTAAACATATCCATCAAAGCTCTCTAAAACCAAAGCACCAGCGAGAAACAACCCAAAGAACAGCAAAAACCGAAACCGCTTCGTCAAACTGTAGTTGTAAAATGTCTCTTACCTTAGCTGTTTTGCCGTGAAAAGTTTATTTTATCGGTAAATTCACACCGGAATCAGTTAGTACTACTTCCCGTGCCACAAGGAAAGCACGTCACCCATCTCTGGGAGGTTGTGTGAACCGTAGAATACTTCGGCAAAGTGAACGAGGGAGCGAGCGGCGAGAATACAAGATGGCGGTCTATTGATTCTGATTGGCTAAAA